TCCTGGACTAGCTGGTTGGATCTATTCTCTACACTCTCCCCTGCAGAGGTTGCAGCTGCAGGATTACACCTCAGGAGTGTATGCCAGGCCTGAGCTGTGCCTGGAGGGGGCAAGGTGAATTTGGAGGAAGAGGAAGCTCTCCGCACACTCACCGGACCTGGGCTAGGACTCGGTCTGGGGGCTCCCAGAACAAGGCAGAGAATCCTACTCTGCGAGCGGGGTGGGGGAGGCACTGCGGAGTGGTGGGGGGCGGCCCAACGGGCTGGGAGAGGGTCCGGCCCACTCTGCACCTGGGCTGGGACTGGTCCCGCCGGCGCAGGGTAGCAGGAAGCTCTCTGCACACTCACCATACCTGGGCTAGGACTGGGTCTGGGGGCTCCCGGAACTCGGCAGAAAATCCCCCTTCATCTTTTTTACTGAAGCTGTAGAATTTACATACTTTTATCATTCCATGGACCATATTCTTTTATAATGATTTGTTTCCATATCTGTCTGTGTGATATATTTGGGTGCAGAGTCTATCATTCATTTGTGTTTCATTTTTATGCCTCTAGTTCCTGGAACAATGTCTGTCATTTGTGGTTACTTCATAAATACGTAGTAGATAGATAATCGAATGAAGAAGTCCATTTAGATGCCTTTCATGGAAGCTTCCCTCCCTACTGGCATTTCTTCCCCAAAGGCTTCAACATCAACACAAGCATGTTATCTTGTGTCATTTTTCCCTCAAATTTTAAATATAGTGATCACCAAATCTGTGTTGATACGCTAACAGTGGTTAAGAAATTTGAATTTATTGTTCCTCCTAAGTAATATAGTTATGTGTAAATTAGGGCCACCCAGAGAAAGCCCCTTAGTGGAGGGAGTTGCAGAAAAAGAATGCTGGGGACCTCTGCCTACTGGTAGAAGAAATATGCTGAATTGACAAGCTTGCCAGCTGCTTCCAAGACACTGCTAATGACAAATAAGAGCTGGCCTTCGGACACTCCTATGTTGCCTTGCCCCTCCGATGTGTGAAAATGGAGAAGGGACAAATACATTGCCTCTTTTGATAAATTAGAGAACTTTTTATACTTTTAGGAACACTCAAGTTCAAATGTAGGGATTAGACAAAGGGATCTGAAAATTATAACCTGTGTGTCAAATTTGTCTACTGCATGTTTCTGTGAATGGAGATTTACTGGAACAGTCATAGCTAGTCACTGCCATATTGTCTATGGTGCTTTTGCACTTCAATGAAAGAGTTGCATAGCTGAGACAGACATAATTCCTTTCACAAAATCTAAAATATATAGCCTCTGATCCTACATTAAGAATTTTTCCATCTGTAGAAAATGCAAAAAATGATGCTTTCTTGATTTGAAATTTTTGCAATCCCCTATTTTTTGTCATGAAGATGCTGCTAAATTTCAAAAATGCTTAGAATCATCATGTAAATGCACAGCCTAATATATTGCTTAGGTACTAAATGTATGATCAAATTTGCAATTTATCGTTTGAGATTGATTCAATTCTTGACATCAGCTAAAGTTATAAAAATACCAACTTTGAAGTATGTTTGTAATACAATGAAGTCTAAGAATGTTTTAAATAAGGAGATTGCCAGTACTGGTAAGAGACCTGCAATAGATGGGTCAGATGTAATTGCATTAGTTTATCTAAAGTTTGATCTTTATAATAATTTAGACTCATGTATAGTCATAACCAAGAAATTTATATTATTGACCTCTGGAATTTAACACTGAACTCTGGGATCTGAACACTTTTACTGTTCAGATATGCCTAGATTTTATTTTAAATTAGGAGCTAGAGAATTTTGTATCCTTTCTAATGATAAAATACTATCACGCAGAACTTTCTGAATGTCTCTTTCTGCTCTAGGTCCATTTGTGATGAACACCAATGAAGAAATTTCTGAGGCCATTCTTGATTTCAGAAATGGAAAAAATGGGTTTGAAAGAGCGAAAACCTGGAAATCAAAGATTGGAAACTAGTGCAGAGCACAAGAGAGCTCTCACATCTTTACCAGTTGTGGCACACAGTCATTTAGGCACTGTTTCCCAAGCTGCCTTAGCTGGTGTTTCCAAAGTTTTCCACATTCAGCTGTTAACAAGAGTTTTTATGACAATATATGTAGAGTATTTCCTGGCACATTCAAATAAACCTAATGGTTATTTCTTTAACACTCCGTGTTCTTCATTTTAACCTAGCTTATTGAGCTTCTATTTAAAAACTCATCTTGTGTTTTCCTTTCCATCCAAAACCGTGTGTGTTTGGATGGTTTTGCTATTTTTGAATCACATCTGATTACTTTCTGTGCCACTGGCAGCAGATACGTCAGCATCTAAAGGTCCTTTCTTAAGCAAGGCTGTTGGGCTACAACCATGAAGATCATGTGCTGGGGTTTCATGTTTCAGGTTATCTGCTTTAAAACAACAGCAGCTCTGAGCATTTGAGTCAGTTTTTAAAACTTCCCTGCTATTGGTAGGGACACAACAGGATTACAGCCAAGATTTCCCTGCATTTTCTGCCAAAATCTGTGTCAGATTTAAGACACATGCTTCTGAAAACTTCCATGAAGGTTGTTAAAAAAGTTTTAATCCAGAGCTGGGTTCCAGCTTTCTGTAGCTGCAGGCATTGGTGGCTGCACCAATTCCTTACAAAGCAACTGGAACCTGGGGCATAAGGTGGAGAGATTTCTTCTAATTTGCTGGACCTGAAATGAATGTAAAGTGCTTTCTAAGTTCAGGTGGAAGACATGCTCACCTCCTGATTATTTTTGGAGCATGAGAACATTTTAATTGTTTTTCATCTCTCCCCCCCACTAAGATTGTGCAAAAAAAGTACCTTCCCCAATTGAAATCATTTTATTGGATTTTGACTACAACTGATTTTTTTCCATGAGAAGTTCTGGGGTTCAAACTTTCCCCCTGGAGAATGCCTTTTGAGACAGTTTTTTCTAGCTGCCTGATGTCAACTGCTTAGTAATCAGTGGATATAAAGTATTCAAAATGTACAAAGAGTGGGCAGTAGTGAATATTTTCATGATGTCTTATGTGCACCTGGTGCAGGGCTTCAGTAATGAACATGGACCAGTGAAGGTAGGTGAGCTCAATTTCTAATGTGATGAGATTCTTTCTAATGGTTTATACAGAAGAGTTTCTTTACACTCACTATTTGTTAAGCAATAAAAAATGCATAGTATTCTTAATAGTGGGCAAGATATGTCTTGCATTTGTTACCGACTGTTCTGTTTCTTAAACTTAATGATATTCTTGAAATTTGAAAATGCTGAAGTTTTTCTTTTCTTTGAGGCGTAATAGAACATGAGCATTCTTGAATCTTTTTGATAGAAAAACTTATTCCAATTGCATATGCGGATGGCACAGTGGTTTTCTAATGAAGCACTGATTTGTTTTTATGACACCCATAATTTAGTGGGTCATTTATTTTCAGGTTGTTTTTGAACAGCAAAAGCTGGTCTATTTTGTCTGTAAATTGAAAATTATAGTGCTTTCTACAGATGTTTTCTATCTGATTTTGCAAATTACCGATTGCCACCATCCAGAAAAATGTTTTTCTCAGAGGTTGTTTTGGGTTTTTGCTTTTTGAAATTGCACAAAATTCAACAGTAATCAAATGGCGTAATCAAATCTTTAGTTCTATGAGCAGGCATCAAGTAGAGCTAGACAAATTGAGAGTAATGCGAGCTGGGATGCTACTGACTGTTAGAACAATATTTCAACTCATTTTATGTGTTTCATAGATTAGGCATTTTTAAAGCTTTTTATTTTGAAAATGATTCAGAAGTAAGTGCTTTGCCTGAAGTGGTGCTAAATCATTATTGATTTAGGAATTTCTGGTTCTGAAAAGACAATTAAATGTGGGTTTTCTGCAAAAACCCAAAACAAGAGTTTCTGCAACTCTTGTTTTTACAACAGGCATGATATTGCTCCCCACAGGGGAAAATTAGTTCTCAGGCAAGTGAAAGTTTTATATCAAAGCACAGATATACATATATTACATAAACAGATTTACGGTATGTCTGTAATGCCACAGTTTATTGGTACAATTTAGATATACATGATGATCACATTTATCATAGTCATTTTGTACCTGTACGTGATATATCTTGATCCTTTCTTTTTTTCTCATTCCCCTCGCCTCTCTTCAACCCTTTTTTCTCCTCTTTGTTTACAATGCTTTGTTTTCATTTTATTCTTCCTTGTAAATAAGGAGGGGAAGAGGGGCTGGAAAGACGGTAGAGAATGGAACAACAGAGGAATCAAGATCTTTCTTGGACAGGTACAAACAGTGTATGATGAATGTGATCATTATGCATATCTAAAATGTACCAATAAATTTAATAAAAATAATGGAAAAAGTTGAACAACACTGTGTTAGGGCAGAGAGTCACCTTGTCTAAATGCCTACATCTTTTTAACTTTTTGGAGTCATTGTTCACATGGGATAAAATATAGTAAAGTGGAGTTGAAGACTACCTCAATTCCAGACTGTAAGTGGAAGGGAATCTAGTTTGGAGCACAAGTAACCAGAGAAAAAAGTCTGAATTTGTAGGCAAGTAAGACTTTTCAGACTTCCCATATTCTTTTTTAGTCTATAAAACTCAGGAATCCTTTAGATATGCTAATCTCATTGAGTTTTAATATGTTTCCATTTTATTTTTAAAACATCAATTTATTTGATGAGACAAGAAAGGAAACAATTGTTAAAAATGCTATTCTTTACACTAACATTTTTTAAATAGTACAAACACCAGAATTCTCTGAAAGCCTCTGCAGAGACATTGTAGATGCTTTGAATTGACTGTTAGCATGTACATTTGTTTAATGGGGCTACAGAAGGAAACAGCTAAATTTGCATGTCAGAAAACATACTCTTACACATGGAAAGTGTGGCATTGTATGCTTGCTCATGCCATTAGCATTTTTCTTTTATGTCAGAACTTCCTTTAAAAAGAACAGCTACTTATACTGAGCTTATACTCTCAGCTAAACTAAATTATTTCTGATAAGAAGAAAAGGATCATTTATAGTGAAACTGAAGTGTGGAGATAAATGGAACTGGGCAATGAGAATGACATAATACTGGTTTATGGTTTTCTTTTGTCCTCAAGAAAAGAGCTAAGAAAAATTTTTGACATGCATATTCTTGTTCAGGATGCTAATGATTTAGGACACTGGTGTTTGAATATTATTTTTCCTTTAGAAATAAAAGTACTTCATTTACCATGGGAAATTTTCACAATCTGCTTACTAGGTCCTGTTACAGCCTGTTCTTCTCTCCACTTCACCCTCTTTTAACCATGTCCTTTCCAGAGTGACTGGAGATGCCACATCTGTTCCCTGTCTGTACCCTACTCCCACCCCTGGCCTGGCCATTGCTCTCTAGCTCTCAACATTGTCCTCTTTTTCAGCTTAGGCTAACATTGCTTCATGCAGTGCAGGCCTATAAGTCTGTGAACAATTATTTTTCAATAACCATGCAGACAGCTCCTAGTACCATGCACAACTGTGATTGATGCCATGGGAGTGTAAAACATCCTCACTTCATTAGTGCTTGGAAGGCTAGGTATTTGGAATCATCAGTTTATAGAATGTGTGCACTCAGGAAAATGTTTTTGAAAATCTCAGCTCAAAGCTACTGTGTTTACTCCTTAGCTATAAAGTTTCTAAGAACATTTTTTGTGGAAATATTAAATGCCTATGCTTGCCTTTTTAGGTAATCATATTACTACCTAGATGTAGGACTTATTTGTTTATATTTCCTCCAATTTTTTAGACAGTTGGAACAGTTATATGTAGCTTCACAGAGTCTGCCCTTCACAACCCAAGGGAGTTCCATCCACATAGACACATCTGTATGCAAGAGCCCTCAGCACAATTTTGTAGAGATTATGGACATTTAGTACATAAGTATCAACAACCTCAGGGATGTCATGAACATTAGACTTCTAGACAGCCCTATTTGTGATTGGCTTAATAAATAATTATTGTGACCAGCAATGCTGAAGTCTCCTTAAAACACTAAGGGTAGCTAACCTCTGTAAATCTTTTCTACCACACTGACGAAGACATACCAATATGGCAGTTAAGTAATAATCACGGACTACGGTGGGTTTTTAGAACTCTTTTCTGACAAATTTGTTTCCTTCTTCATCATCTTGTTCTCTATACACCATTTAATTCACTCTATTTCTTCACTGAGAAGAGAATGTTGCTGGATGATCGAGTCTTTCAACTTCTGCCAACACTGGAATAAGTCCAAGATCCACGGGAATCTGGGGCACCACTGACTTCCACGAGAAACCACAAACATGGCTCACAAGACTTCGTTATCTTTGTATCACTTGCCGTCTCATGAAATTGTCTCTAAATGAACTGAATAAAAAGAACTGAGGTGCACCTACTGTATTTAACTACAGGAAGCAGACTCCCATCTACTCTCCACCTTATTTTCACTTACAAATTCAGGTGCAGGAATGTCCAGTGACCTCGTTGCCAGTCAGCTAGCCCAGTGAGTGCTTGCCAATGGCACTACCAGCCATAGTCTTTGGCACCGAAGACCACTAAAATAGTTTACATTAATTTGTCCTTCATTTGTACCCATACAGTTAAATGTATTGAATTATATGTTTCTTCACACAGCTGTGTTCTAACCTAGTTACTTAAAACTAACTGATGTTTGAAGATTTTTACATCACTATAGAATATAATAATATAACTTCTGTGTGTAAACTGAATGCTTGGGCTTTCAATATAATATTCATATAAAGCATTAAATATTAATGTTATAAAAAAGAGTATTATTTATACATGGGACCCCCTCTATCTTATATCTTGAATACATAATAACCTCCTTGTATGATTTAATTTTAATTAGAAAATCCAGAATTAGATGTTTGAATAAACCTTTATGATAAACCTCTTACAAGAAAATTCAGGAATGAGAAGATGGTATTTGTTCACAGAAATGATTCCATGAAGAACTTGAGGGCAAACATTCAGGAGCTCTCAGACACATTTATTCTATGACTGAATAAAGGTGATAGAGAAAATGGGGATACAAGTGAGTGACATTGTTTCTGAGCACATTTCTAGGCCTAAGTTTTTCCTACTACATGCGATGAGAAGATGAGGGAGTTGTACACAACTGAGAATGT